GCGGCGCCTGCGCAGAACGGGGCAGGGCGGGAAGCGGCGTCGCGGACGTGACCCGCGGCTGCCCGGCAGGGGCGGCGCCGCGGCCGCTCAGCGCCCCGCGTCTGTGTTCGTGTGTGTACTTCAAAATATATTTTATCCTGTGGTGTTTTATTTATTTTATTTCTTTTTTTCGTGACCGCGGATACCGCTTGGCGGCTGTCCACCCCAGTCCCGTGCCTTCGTCCCACAGGGACTTCCTTTCTCTCTCTCTCCCCGTATCCCCTGTTTCTCAAGCAAAACAAACAACCCCACAAACCATCCGATTCCCTTCTGATTTCACGCCCACCGTGTGTCGTGTTTGTGTGTGAAGTGCTGCAGGTCTTTTAAGAAGGGTATATTCTGGCAGCTTCTTTCAGCTGGGTGGGAATGAACTGCTTGTCCGCACACCAGGGTGCAGAGTAACAAACTTAGCTCTGGGTTGTCAGCGTCCATTGGGTGGAGATTTTGGGTTTTTTCCCCTCAGAAACAGTGCTTACATTTCACACATGTAGGGGAAGCTTAGTTTAATGAGGGGGATTTTATTCCTTCTTGCAGGAGCTCTTATTAGCGGATTGGAGATCGGGCATTAGACATTTGAAAAGGTGTTGTATTGGGTGCTGACAAGCAGCATGCAAAGTCCAGCCTTTTCTGCCCACCTGCTCCTGTACCTGCCCAACATCCCAACACCTGATTTTGTGCCTGACCCATTTCAGCTCGGTTTGGTCAACCAAAACATTTGTGTCTATTATCCCCAGACTGAACCAGGCTGGAGAAAAAACACAGAAAAAAATAAGCACAGGCATAAAGATAAGGCAAATGTAGCAAGTTTACAAGCTCCAGGCCTAAAAATGAGGCAGTCTGAGGGAGTTTGGCACGTCTGCTTGTTCCCAGGCTTGGAAAGGGAAGGAAAGAAACATAGGGCTAGCTGCAGGAGTCATGGTTCCTCCTTCTCAAGCCTCTCGTGGAAAAAAATATTACAGCTCTTGCCTCATATTTTTTCTATCCCAAGCTTTGATTTGCTTCCTGGAGGAAAGATTTTTCTTTTTGCTCACTCCGTTGCTATCTGAATCCACAAAACTGAGGAGAGGACATGGGAAGGAATAGGAGGAGAGAGATACTTCACCAGCTATGCCAGAGAAATCTGCCAGCGTGCCTTCCTTTTCTTGAACATAGACTCAGACTGACCTTGGTGCTCTCAGCTTTATCATGAACAAGTGTTTAGTTGTTTTAACTGAAATATCTGCTCGCCAGCACGAAGATTCAATGCTTCCGTTTATAGCATATTGCACAAAAATGAGAACAAGATGTCGCCAACTCTTGGCAGAGATTAGCTGTTCTGACCACTGCATCTGAGAGTGGCAGCAGGCTGAGCATAGGGGTCACGTAGGCACAGTTTAAGAATAGATCTTCTGTGATGACACTGTAGACTTTAAGAACCTTATGAAAGATGGCAACAATATATACATATGTAATCAACTGTCTACAGTTGAAATGTAATCCAGACTCTTTGACTGTTTCTACAGTAGTAAATTAATTAGTGTCTGGACAAACTCCCCAGGGAGTATAAGGTACTGTTATAACTGTCCATACTGTTCAGTTATTAGAGCTGGCCTTGGCACACTCTCTTCTTGTACCGGTGGAACTCTTCCAGGCAGTTACTGGCAGGGGCTATTCTAATCTCAGGGATGATCGTGCCCATTCACAGCAGAATTTTACAAACCTGCTTAAATCTTTCCTTGCCTTTAATTTTGACACGTTGGAAAGAGAGGAAAATGGTCTACTAACAAGTCTTGTAACTTCCTCTTGTGTTCCTCTTTTCACATTTAGCTCAAGTGGACATAAGAATGTCTTGGTGTGAAAGTTGTTGCAACATCTAACAATTTCTTGCCTCATGGGACAGCTTTCCATAGTTTTTTGTTTGTTAGTTTGCTATCAATTGTGTCATAGAGTTCATGTCCATTCATGTGCACAAGCAGTCCCCCTCAATGGGGATTTTGCTGACTTGAAGAAATAGGCAGATATTCTCTTGGTCTCACTTGGTTTGAAATACTGTATTTACTTCTCTKTAATGACTGTTTGTAATGCCAGTCACTGCAGTTATTCATATGCTTCGTCACCTGCCAGGCTACACTCTGGACCTTTACACTTTGGTCTTTGAAATGTTGCTCAAGGTCCTTTGAAATACAATATACAGTGCTGGTGTGGAAACAAATCTGCAGCCTGTATTAGAATCTTGTCAGGAAATGCATGTTTGTAAGGTAGTGTCACCTCTTCTTTACATGCTAATGTAGAAATAGAAATCACAAAGACAAGTTAAACCTAACCAGATCTTTCTTTTTTTTTTTTTTCTCTCTTGGTCATTAAATGCGCTAGTGTTTTCACCTTCAGTAGGTAGAGATAATAACTCTTTTCCCCAAAAGCTTGACAGTGATCACCTATTCATTCCATGAATGCTAAATAAGCTTTGTGACTCTTTCATATGAATTTCAGGTAGARATGTTCATCTTTTCTCTAACAGTCATTCCAAATTTCTGTCCATTTTGATTCTCTGCAACTATCATTCTTTCCCTCAACCAAGAACCTGAGCACTAAAGACACTAATCCCAAAGCAGTCTAAGGCATAGTCTAAAGTAAAGACCAGAAAGACCTTATCCTCTGTAATGTTCTGCAGCAGGGTGCACAAATGTCTTCTGGTAAGAGTCCCACCTCATAAATTGTGCTAATACCACAATCAGTCTAAATCAGGAGAAAATGTTAGGTCCTTTGTTCTCTCGATAACCCAGTGTCTCTGTTTGCCTGGGAAGTCCAGGCAAAATCCTTTCCAAACATCTACTGTGTTTTAGAGAAACTGTAGAGCAGTAGAGCACTTTAATGCGCAAGAGAATGTGTTGAATGTGTTGAAGATCCATAATTATTTTGTTGTACAAATCAATCTTGTACAGATCAGGCTGTTGTTCCATGCACTGTTGGGAATAAAATAAAGAATGGAAATTGTTTGTGGGGCTGAATTTTATGGATTTGTAGCGAGCATTTTGCTAGCATGAACTCACAGTGGTAGATACTGCAACTCTGTATGGTATACAGTTATTAAAAATACGTAACAAGAATCATCATATATAGTGAGGATAAGCCATTTAATAATCTGTTTAATCCAAAATTTATATATATTAATAATATATTTATTTATTTATTCCAAATCTCTTGAAACTTTTCAAGAGCAGAATAGATGAACTTCAAGGTATTTTTTAATCCTCATGGTTGCCAGGGTCCTAACTGAAACTTTTAACTGCTCATAATAATTGTTATGGGGAATTTCTGAATATTCTGATATTTTTGCTTTATCTGTGGCCCTTCTATTTCCACTTTAGAATAAGAAACATTTCTCAGTGAAGGAAGGTAGTCAATATTTTTCTGTCAAAAACTGATAGATTACGAAATCTGACTACCTGAGTTTTTGGACTGATGAGCCCAGCATCAGGGAGCAGGGACATAGCTCATACTGGCTATCTCAAACCCTTTTTTTCTTTTTTTTTTTTTTCATAATGAAGATATCATATGAGACATGATGTGAGGACTGAATTTGGAAAATAATGTCTTTAGTCCACAGGAAACCAGGCTCACTGAAAAAAAAATGTTATGTAAACATGTTTTGTGAGGCAAGCCCAGTTATCTGGGAACTTGAACAAG